AAGGGTCAACAAGCATTTTACTTGAAACTAAAACAAAATGTGAATATCGCCAAATCATCTTTAAATGCGCCAAGGTGGCAAACTCAGAAGTAAGTCTTCAAGACATCCCTACGAAAAATAGGTTAGGGCTCGTTTCTATGGCAACAGACAGCTGCAGACAAACTGGCGAGAGCTGTTCTTACCATAGACAGACAGTATTCTTGGCACAAACTGAAAAAAAAAGCGGCAATATAAATTTTTGAATTTCTCCGTAAATTTCGCACCAAGTTTTACAAAATTTTATATTTAGGCATAATTTGAGTTATAGAATCGAAATATGTAAAAAAATTGGTATGTTATTTCAGAAAAAGTCCAATTTTGTGTCAAAATACCTATGTTAGAATAGTGCTATAGTGCTATACACTGGTGTGCAAAAATTAAGGACGAGACGGTTTTTTTCAATATAACTTTGTACAAAAGCTTTCCAAATCAACACATTTAATACCGTAAGATCCCCAATACGTAAGGACATGAGTAATGTAAGCAACACTTACTAAAAGAGAAATCAGAGGGATAAAAAAAGAAGCTTTATCGAAAAAGTAGCATGGAGCGCAATGCGACTGAAGGCCGAAACATCCCCGTGATGGGTGTCCAGCAAGAAACATCCGGTCTTTAATAGGGGATATGATCTCCCCTGACTGCTAGGCAGGTTTCACAGCGTCTGCCCATGCTGAGAATGAGGGTGTCAATGAGTTGTTGAGGCATTGCTGCCCATTCGTCTTGCAGCACCAATCGAAGCTCCGGAATCGTTACTGGTGGTAAGGTACGAGCTGCCAAGCGTCTGCCTAGAAAATCCCATACATGCTCGATGGGATTGAGATCCGGAGATCGTGCCGGCCAATCCATACGTTCAATATCCTCACTCTCTAAGAGCTGTTCGGCAGCTACTGTGCGATGACATGGTACATTGTCGTCCATGAAAAGGAACTGCGGACCCATAGCGCCTCTAAAAAGACGCACATACGGAAGAAGAATCTCGTTACAATAACGGGTCCCATTGACTGAACCTGCGTCGAAGATGTGAAGGTCTGTACGACTACCAAGCATGATGCCTCCCCAAACGAGAACACCGCCACCTCCATACCTGTCCTTTTCAATGATGTTCGAGGGATGATTGCGGCTTCCCCACTCTCTCCAGATGAGTATGCGATGAGAATCTACTCAGACTGAATCTGCTCTCATCTGTAAAGAGTACTCGTCCCCATTCCTTCTCTCTCCAATTCCGGTGTTCCTGGCACCACAGAGAACGCCTTCTCCGATGGGCAGGCGTTAGAGGTACACACCGTACAGAGCATCGTGCAAACAGACCACCACCGTGCAGTCTTCTGGCCACGGTAAAACGCGATATCGGTCGTCCAGTCGCCTGTGTTGTGTGTCTAGCGATTTCTCCCGCTGTCTGCCGCCTGTTTCTTCTGGCCTGTAAGGCAATATACCGGTCATCTGCGGGTGTGGTTCCTCATGGACGACCACTACTAAATCCCCGGATAGCTGTTCCTGTAGTTTGAAATTGTCTCCAAAGTTGTGAAACGATGCTGTGAGAAATTCCGAACTCTGCAGCCACACTTGTCACACTGCGGCCTTCCTCCAACTTCCCAATGATTTGACCTCGGGTAAAAGCATCCAGATGTCGTCTAACAGATTGATTATTCGCCATTTCTCGCTGAGACAGCAACTCGGTGTGATTTTAACTGCTATACGGCGCGCAATCTCTTTGCCAGAAATACTGATTTTACACCGACAACATGCTTTATACTACTCAGACACTCCACATTATGTCTACCTGCATATCTGCGCATGTGCTACCGTACATCACCTTACTTTATCTCCTGATTGGTCTTTCTGTCCGCTTTGCCTCTTCGTTCAGCTGATATGCTAATTTTTCGACTTCATCCTTAATTTTTGTACACCAATGTATATAAATCTAATACATATCCTAGTGTACTATTTACGGCTTACAGTAAAATTTCAATAATGTCATATGCAATTAATTTTTAGGTTTTTATTTTCCGTAAAATGTTTGGTTGGAAAATACATGGCAATATAAGATATGAGAGACCCAAATAAATTATATTTTGTCAGATGCTTGCATTCCCTCTATAAATAATAGTTATTATACAGTTTGCAGCATTTTATCACAGTTTTATATTTGTATAATATTTTTATTTAGTTCTAATTTTGAAATCTCAAAGCAACTGTCAGATGCACAAAAGAGAAATATAAAGAAACAAAAAATTAGAAAAATGCAAATCTGTGTCACAATAATTTGTTAATCACCACAACAAAGAAGAGAAATATAAGGAAACAAAAATTAGAAGAATGCAAGGCAATGTTAACAACAATTTGTTAAACACCAGAGAATAGAAGATGTGCAGAACACGTGAAATCTACTACTGTTTTAGAAGCTGATGATACAACACTACACTTGGCCTCTATACTTTAATGAACGACAGTTCTCACAGAAGAAAATACAAAGAGCTATTGCAAGGGGAAAAAATCTACTGTGTCACAGGATATTTTACTATAGTAAATATATTACAACATTTTACAATAGTACTTCAATATATAGATAGTAGAACAAAATTAATTAATGGATTGCACAGCATATTACAAGGAACTCAAGATACAGCTTTTGAACAAAATTTCCAGGAAGCACAAAATTTGGCTGAAGAAATAGGTACAGAGAAGAGATTTCATACTGAAAGACAAGAGTTAAGATAATGGGAATAGATGAAACACCAGATGAAGGAAGTAGCTTCACACACGAATATTTATAATACAAATTTACAGCGTTCTTGACACTATTGTCTCAAACAGATTGGTATTATCAAAAAGTGAAAAAGCTATCTGAGACAATTTTTACTCTCTCTACGGCTCATTTCTACAATGCATCAGAGGTGCTGATTTAAAAAAAAAAAAAAAAGAAAAGAAAAAGAAAAATGCAGATCTCGCAATTAAATATAGCAAGGATTAAAAAGCGCAAATTCGCACATGAAATTTGAAGTAATCACTCTTATATAAAATATAGAAACTAGTACATTTCCACTAACATTCTACAGGCTCCTCATTATACTGGTTTAATTGGGTCTTACCTAAATATCAGTGCCGCTCTTCCCAGTGAATATTTATAACTCTTAATCAGTGAATATTTATAACCCTTCCCATTTCTACTGCTACGCAAGAAACAAATTTTAGCAAGTTGAAATTATTAAGATTATTAAGATCAGCTATTGGGCAATTGACACTTACTGGCATCAGAGAAATGGCTTTCTCATCTTCAGTGTTAAGTCATTAATGCTTTGGCTATGCTGCAAGGTACTTTCTTAAGAGAATGTTTTTGCGCTCACACTGGAAAAGCAGCTGATTTATATCCTCATTGAGTTATATAAGCGAAAACAGATTCATAATACATCAAAAAAAGATCAATAGTAGATAAGCTGTCTTAACTATCAGATGAACCTAAATGACAGTATATTAAGATGACAAGCATGGATAAAATATCCAAAATTACAGAAGTTTGAGCTACTGAAAACTGGAAAAATATATTTATGGAAAATTGATTGTATAGTGAAATCAATTAACCTATATGCATTAAAAGGATTAAAAATAAGAAAAAAAAAGCGATTAAAAATACTGCTTATAGTGGTAAGCGCAGCTAATTACTAATGATAAATTTTAACAATTTTAAACAACATAAAAATAATACAAAATATTGGATGATTTGCAATGAAATCAAATAGCTGATTTTATATTACAGAAAGATACTGAGATTGAATACCATACTTAGCCAAACCTTTGCCCTTCATACTGATAATGACTTTAGCCTTAAAGGAGTAACCCAACATTTTATTTAATAATTAAAATTTCAAACCTTTCCTACATATTTTTTGACACAATGAGCAACTAACTGAAAAGAAAAAAATCTATGAAAGTAGGGACACCTTGGCAACAAATAAATTTATGATATGAAATAAATTCTACAGCCACTTTAGTTATGAAAGATTAAACAACATATTCAAATTACTGACAAGTATTTTCACTATAATGTGAATGTTATTTATTACAATTCTTTTCATAACAAAAATCAATGGGTAGTTAGTTTGGGTTTACACAAAAAGTATTCTATATCTCAGATAAAAAAAAAAAAAAAAAAAAAAAAAAAAGAGTTTGTTTTTCATTTATATTAAAATGTGTTATAATGGAGAAAATTTCATGTTATTACTGAAAACATTCAGGTTATGGCAAAACTTTTCATTTAACAGAAATTTCATTAATCAAATGCAGATCAGATGTAATTTTTAGCTTCAAAACATCATTTTTATTTGCATAATCCTCCTTTGTTTATTAATTTTTCCTATTGAAAACAGAATATAGAAAATCACATGCTACATGTCATTTCTGACAGGAAAACTAAAATTTAGAACATGAAAAAGCATATATTAATATAACTGTATTTTTTCTTTCATGGCAGTCAGTTAAGTTTATTAATTTCAGCAATAATTCTTTTACTTGAAATATCCTTGAGAATACATTTTATATCATAAGAAAAAAGAAATTTTGAAATCACATGCTGAAACATCTAAGCAGAAAATATGCAAGGGGAGAGTAAATATAGCTCATTGAATTCCATGTGACTACTGTCTTACAATTAGTGTGATCTTCTTTTATTCAGTTTATATCAGGTCAGCAGAAAAAAGATACCCATACATTTTTATAATGCGGGAATCCTCAAAATTATCGTTATTTAACATTAAAAAAAAATTATGCTTAACGTGCATTCTTTTAATTTTGTTCTTTTTTGCCTCAATTGTAATGTTCCATAAAAATATATTACCTACTTTCATACATTTAATTATATTTAATCGCCTTTAAAAGGCCATCTTGATTTTAATTTTTAATAAAACTAACAAATTTTGAAGAATAATTTTTAAGTAAAGGCAAACGAGAAAACAATTAATACTTACATCTATGATAGAGGCACTATCTGGGGTCGAAACATCTTGTGCAGTGCATAACTTATGGATTTCTCTAGCAACTCTATGGATGCAGCGCTGGTCCCAGTGTGTAATATCAAATGCACAGCTACCTTCAGCTAAATGAAAAGAAAATTCTTAATGAATAAGGGTGATATATACGGGTATACAGATTATAATTCCATTAGAAACAATATGATGATGCATATAAGAGCATGGTTTCCTAAAATAACTTAGTTATTACACAATATTACTGAACTTAAAATATTTTGTTACAGAAACCAAACATAATGTTTTATATTCCTGCAGAGCAGAACAGTGTATCTTCATATCAATGTACTTTAAGATAAACTTACTTTAACTACAAATTTTGATCTTTTGATACACTATTATAAAACTTATTGCATTTTAATTTACAATTTTGCTTCATACACAGGTGAATTTTGGAATTTTTTTAGACAGGATAGACAATAATATGCTAAAAAAACTGTTTGTTAGATACATACATTTGAACATTTTTACAGCCACAGATAATAACTGGTGACAAAAATTGCAATTTATCTATCAAAGAATAAAATTTGAAAGAACAGAAAAAGGGAGGTGATGCAAAAGCATTATCGCACTCTATGCTTTTAAAGGATAGCTAAATCAAGAACAATTACCTTCGATGTCTACAAACAGGAATGCGGAAATGAAGTTCTATTTCATACAGTTTACAGAACATTTACAGTTTATTTAGACAGTTTATAGAATTTCATTGAAATTCTCTCCTGGATGAAGAACATACAGAAATTTCCTTGTTATCTATGGTCACAGGAAACATGTCGGCCATATGGAAAAAGTTAATCAGTGATAATCGCTACACCTGCTACATGATACAGTGGGAACTCAATATTAGATCCACAACTATTCATAAAATTATTCATGAAGAGCTGCATATGCAAAAATTAGTTTGTCATTAGGTACCTCCATAAGTTAACAGAACGCCAAAAACCAGAGTGCATCAGAATCAGTACAGAAAGCCTAAAGTTGCTTAATAATGGTAGACACCCTATTACTTTTAAAATCATAACTGGAGATGAAATGTACACACCCTTTTTGGACATTTCAACATGACAAGAAAGTAAAGAGTAAACTGACAATAATGGTGAAAAGACTAAGCAATAAAAAAGTAATATGTGTCGTTTTCTTCAAAAGTACAGGACTGGTACTTCTGGAAATCTAACTCAAGCAAGTTCGATCTTCAGAAGTACTAATTCAAGTGAGATCTAACTTGATGGTCAAAATCATATGATTAGAGGGATAAAAGACAGTTACCGTTAATTGGTACACCATTAAATGCCTTCCAAAAATTCTTCAAGAAGTGAATGTTAGGAGACTCTTACTTCACCAAGATAATGCATCTTTTCATTAAGCAGCAGTGACAGTCCAATTTCTTGAACAAAAGTACACTAAAGTGATAGAACATCTACCTACTCTCCTGATCTTCCTATACATAACCTTTGGCTATTTTTTAATCTAAACCAATATTTATGTAATTATAATTTTTGTTCTCAAGATGAGATTGATGAAGTGTGAAAGCATATTTTTCATGGCTTCCAAGAAATGTAAAGTTTGAAGCATTTACACTTTAGAGAAATTTGGCTGTATCTAAAAAATGTCAAAGTTAGCCTCATAATTACCATGGCTTTCATTTCACACTTGAGCCAGATTTTGCCTTACACTACAGACCACAACTGCCAATCTTGAAACACAGGAAAAACACTTTACTAATACATTTTCTTTAATTTTAAAGATAGACATAATTTCTTGCTCAAGTACTGTAATTTCTATGTCAAGAGTCCCTACTAAAGTATCAGTCAAAATCTTTTCACTGTCAACAACCATTTTTGCTATTTTCTCATCAATATTTTTGGGATTGAAATCATGCTGTAGATTTCACAATCTATTAGAAGATTGATAGTTTAGAGGCACTGTCATTGAAAAGGAAAATTTGTTATATCATCTTCACTTATCCCTTTTCCACACTTCCATTGCAAAAACTTGAAGAATTTAATTTTTGACTGTGATATCTGAAAACTTTAAATTCACAGCTATTATCAAAATTATCATCATTACCATGAAATATGGTGACTGGCCAGAAATTATTCCACGCATTTTTTTTAATAACTTGCAAAGATATCCTTCCTTGACCTTGCAATGCAAGTTTTCCAGCATGTTATACAGCAGGTTTTATCTTAAAATTTTTCAAAATGAACTGAACTGTCTTACAGCCGTTCCGAAAATTTACCATAAATTTTACAAAGGCTACATTAAATCTGCATTTCAATGCACACAACACTCATATCCATTGGCTGAATGATGGATGTATGATTTGGAAGAACAATAAGAGACATATTATCTTATATTAAAACTTTAAGTATTAAACATAGTTCAGAAATAGTTCTCTAAAATCAGGGCTACATTTTTCTACAACCAGGCAAATTTTGTGTTATTCAGTAAACTAACCAATTTCAAATGTTATTAAACCTTAGTCATAAGATGACTTTCAAACCAATCATTCATTAATGTCTGCATCATTCATGGTCATTCCAGTATTTGAATAATAGAAGATGGAGAAAATCGTCTTTTTTTTAAATGGCTAAGGTCATGTATTTTCTTTTTTTTTTTCTTATTACAGCAAGTTTTACACACATACATTCCCGCAGCATTCGTACATGCCAAAATCATTAGTCTTGCTTTGGAGTCTGACATCAGTGAGGACATCTTCTGTACAGGTTGCCATATTTTAGGGCTCATGTTGCTAGAAAAGATCAGTCTGGTCAGCAATATGGATATGTTCTAATGATAACTCTCACCTGCTAATGAGTTTAATGAATCTACAAATTGATCAGCTGCTCCAGTTTCAGCAGAACTTTTTGTCTGAAATTTTGAACTGCCTTAAACCATGAGGATTTTAAAATTTGGTTAAGAAACTGGTTAAATACATGCAATTAGTTTTTAAGTCCATTTCGACATAAAATATTTAGGCTTGAGCCATTAGCATTGGACAAGTCAATAGTAAGCCTTTCCTGCGATGCTGTTTCACCCATTCAGTTATGACTCTGTTATGATCTCCACTTTAACATGTTCACGCCGGGGTCAATTTTTATGTTCTTTGCCATGAGATGGCGCTTGAACTTTTCCTGCATTTCATCTGGCGGCGCGCGATCATTACCTGTTCAGACCTGTATACAAGTTGTACGTTTGCTAATAGTTATTAATTATAATTGTTTTAAAAAAGATTTTTATAATAAATAAAAATTAATTTTTCATTATTTTAATTTTCAGCGTCTAATAACACAATCAAATGCGTACCATCGGTGGCACGCATTGCCCGTTAAGACAGACTAGTGAGGGCCACCGGTGGTACATGCCACCCGATGAGACAGATTAGTGTGGGCCACTGGTGGTACGCTCTGCATGATGAGACAGACTAGTGCGAGCCACCGGTGGCCCGCACTGGCGTGAACGTGTTAAGCACTTATCAAATGATTTCCTGTTCATTGAGAATGGAGTGTCAGTAGCCAGAAAAAAATTTTAAAGCTCCTTTTTCTTTTCTTGTTTTAATGTAGAATGTTAGCTTTCCAATGCTATGCTGCTTGTATAACTTTGAGACAGATATGCTTTTATGACAGCAATTCCATTCTTTGTTTGATCAGCATCAAAACATGGTTTTGCTTTGCAGCTCCAGCCTTTTTGATATAATCAAAAGCACAAATTATAATTTTGGCAAGATAGTTGCAATAACAATAGCCAGCAAAACATGATAGCTTGGAATAAATTAAAGTTATATAAAAGAGCAATTAGCTATATTAAGAGTTTTTGGAATCTTATTTTTTCATCTATTCACCGCTGCTACGCCAACAAAAGAAAACTCAGTATGAGCCCACTCAAAATAAATACAGGGTGTCTCAGTACCTCGTTTCAGAACTTCTAGGAGGGGTAGGGTGCATCCCTGTGACTCCGAATCATATAGTAGTGCAGGGTCGGAAATGCCTTCCTGTCACACTAGTGTACACAGAAACATCAGAAATTAAAAGACATCAGGTAAGTTAATATTCGTTTGAACATGAGTCAAAGATAGTGTTCGAAGTTTCATCCACCAACTTCAATGCATGTCTCACATCTACGGCATATAGAATTCTATATATTCTGGAATATTCCAGGCATATCTTGAATTTGACATGGCAGCTCCTGAGATTCGTGCAACCAGCTCCTCGGCATTGTCACCGGGGGTGTCATTGACAAGTGTCTTCATACGCCCCCATAAAAAAAAAATCAAGACACGATAGATCAGGTGATCGAACAGGCCACTGCACCAGATCACTATGTCTAAGCAATTGTTGGCCAGATCTGATGTCTAGGTGGGTATGAACATTATGGCTGAAATCGACTTCTCAAGCTGAAACCACATTGTCTGTCACATCGATGCAGAAATCTGTTCAGCATCTAAAAGTCGTGGCAAGGCCTGCTGCAGAAAGATCAAGTAGTTACAACTGGTTATACAAAATGGCAACAGGTAAGGTCCAATAAGGATACCCCCCACAATGCAGGCCCAAACATTAACCAAAAACCAACTCTGTGCTGCACGACATCGTATTGCATGAGGGTTCTGTATTGCCCGGAGATGGGCGTTATGTGCATAAATATTCCTTCCCTTGTGAAAGATGCCCCATCAGTGAATAACACATTATCAGGAAAACGGTGATCAGTAGCATACTTTTCAAGATGCCAATATGCAAAAGCAATATGAGGTACATAATCGCTTGGTTGAAGCACATGGATACACTGAACGTGATATGGATGCATTTCATTTTCTCTAAGAATTTTCCAGATGCTGGAACAGGAAACCCTGACTGCATACGTTACACATCGCATACTCAAACTTGAAGTCCCCTGTACCCGCGATGTAGCACATTCTCTTCAATGTCTTGAGTCTATATTGATTGTGCCTGATTCATGGCAGTTCTTCAAAAGGAGCCTGTTTCAGTTAACTTCTGATGCAGCCTTGCAAAGAAATTATGGCTGGGTGCACGCCTCATAAGATATCGTTCTGCGTACAAGCGCTGTGTGGCTG